TATTGGACGTCGAATTCTGAAAGTTCCAAGGATCATTTCAACATTCGACCCGCCATGTCTGGTCGACCTAGGAGCTGTTTCACGGGCTGGTTTGTTTGCACATGATTGTGTGCGCGAGGAAATAGTGTCTGAGTCTTCTCGCTGCATTGACGAGGGCCAGAGCCACCTTTTCTATCTGTTGGTACCTAACCTCAGGCCCTTGAAGCGCCTTGCTCGTGAAATAAATGGGTTTTAGTCCCTCATGAGTCTCACGAATGAGGGCTGCGTTGACGGCTTCGACAGAGACGGCCAGGTATAGAAACATGGTCTCCCTACCGACTGGTCGTGATAACACAGACGGCTACGAGAGACTCCGTTTGAGATGGAGCAGGGCCTGCTCGCATTCCTCGATCCATTCGAAAGTCGCTTCCTTGCGAAGGAGTTTGAAGAAAGGGAGGGCGTGTTGAGCAGACTTTGCAACGAAACGAGATAGTGAGGTGAGCATGCCATTCATGACTTGTATGGATTTTTTTGACGTAGGTGTGGAGAGATCAGAGAAAGCTCGGAACTTGTCGGGGTTGGCTTCGATTCCTCGCTCTGTTAAGTAGAAGTCAAGGAACTTGCCCGCCTTGACCCCGAACGTGCATTTCTCGGGGTTAAACCTTATTTTGCATTACCTCGCTTGGGCAAAGACTTCCCTAAGACGAGCAGCATGGTCAGTGTCTGCTCGGGACTTGACGATCATGTCGTCTATGTATACCTCGAGCATATCTCTGATTTGGTTGCGAAAGACTTTGTTCATCATCCGCTGATATGTTGCTCCTGTGTTTTTCAGACCGAATGGTATTATGTTGTAGTAATAGTTGCCCAAGCTAGTCATGAAAGCAGTGCAGTGTTTGTCGCCTATTGCCATTGGGATTTGGTTGTAGCTTAAATAGGCGTCCATAAACGATAAAATCTTATAGTCGACCGAGTTATCGACCAGCATATCAATATTAGGTCAAGGAAATGCATCTTTGGGCATGCCCGGTTAAGATCGATATAGTCAACGCACATTCGCCATTTTCCATTATTTTTCTTAACAAGTACAATATTTGACAGCCAGGTTGAATACCGGGCTTCAGAAATAAAATTTGCCTCTATGAGGTCTTTTACAGCTTTTTCATCAGCCTCCGCTTTTTCCAGAGATTGCATACGTCTACGTTGTACTACTGCCCTAGCGGTTGGATCAATAGTGAGTTGATGACATGCGATCTCAGGGTCGGGATCGAGCATCTGCGCAGCACTCCATGCGAACAGATCCGTGTTTTCCCTTTAACAGGCCTTGATCTGCTTTCTCGCCAAGTCGGGAAGTCCAGTGTCAATCTTCACTCCTCTGCTTGGGTCTTCACCGAGGGGGACGAGCTCGAAGTCCCAATCCGAAATTGGTCAGGGAGGAACCTGCTCGCCGCTGGAGGGCTCGTCCTAGTCGAAACGAATGTCCAGAGAGATCGAGTCGACCTTTGAAGGGGCCCTCTGTTCTTCTACTCTGACGGGCTCTGACTGTTAAGGCTCTGATCGTGCAGTTGCAGCTTTCTTGGCGGGCCGTGTGCTGGTGTCGACTGTGCTGTGTCCCTTGGATGCCGCGTTAAAGCACCTTCGGGCGGCTGCTAGATCGCCTAAAATAGTGGCGACCTATGCCCTCTTGGTGTAGAACTTCATCTTTAAGTGGACGGTGGAGGGCACTGCGGTCAGCTCTGCCAGTGTTGGCCTCCAGAGGATGCAGTTGTAAAGAGATGGGAAGTCGATGACGAGGAAGCGGACCTTGACCTGTCTGGTAGCGATATCCTCGCTGAATGTGACCATAAGCTCCAAATACCCCCACGACTTAGAGGTGGAGCCATTAAAGCCCTGCAGGTCCGACCCCGCGTATGGTGAAAGGTGAGAGTCATCGAGCTACAGGGTTCTGAACAACTGGTTGTACATCACGTCGACGGAACTTCCCTCGTCGACCAGGGCGCGATGTACGTCGAAGTTGGTCATTCTCGCCCTTATCAGAAGAGGGATGGCTGAATTGGGGGCCCCTCCGGGAAGCTCCTCGAGGTAAAAGATGATCGGCTCTGATCTGCCTTTCACTCTTTCGAAAGTCACCGTTTACGGAGGAGCTGCGTTGATTAGTTCGTCCAGCTTTCTCTTTGCTGAATTTATGGTCAAATCATTAAACCCTCCACCATTGAAGATCATGGCCGAGGGGAAGTTTTCCCATCCGTTGTGCGTAGACAGAGGCTCTTGCAGATGTTCGGGGACGTAGAAGTCCTCAGGTCTTGTGACGGAGAACGCGGTTTGGATGGGAACCGACTCGTCAGATGGTCGGGCATCCTTTTCTACTTCCCTCGTCTCATGGGCATCCCGACGAAGAGCGTCGCCTCGCCGATATTGCGCAAGTCTGCCCCCCTTTATGAGGGTCTTGATGGCGTCCTTAAGATGAACGCAGTCTTCGGTCAAGTGCCCGTGGCTCCGGTGATACTGGCAGTATTTGCTTCGGTCTACCCCGGGTTTGGCAGGAGCAGGGCGGGGACGCTTGACACCGTCGTCCTTGAAGTTTGTACTTGCGCACTCCGCTAGGATGCACTCGCGGGAAGTCGTTAGCGGAGTGTATTCAGTGAACCTCCCCGAGGGCCCCCTTTGTTCTCGGGTGTCTCGGGGTTTATCGTCTCTTCCCTTCTCGTCAGTTCGTTGAGGAGGGTGGTGTCTTATCGCGGATTACTGCTGGATCCGCGGTTCTTGAGATCTCGGGCTCTGTTGGCCGCTTCTCTCTCCTCGTAGTCCATATAGGCTCTGGCCTTCTCGAGGAGGGCATCGAACGTTCGGGGTGGTTCGATACCTATGACTTTTCTGAATTCGGTGCCCAGGAGGAACCCCCTCTCGAGTAGGTATCTTTTCATGTGGTCCATGCAGGGGACCTGGATGACCTCCCGGTTGAACCGGTCAATGAAATCCCTCAGGGTCTCATCGTGTCTCTGGACGATGGCCTCGAGGGATGCTTCGGTCTTTGGGTGTCGCCGCGAAGTAGTGAACGAGTTAATGAATTGGTTTTTCAAATTTCGCCAAGAGGTGATTGACCCCGGGGCGAGAGCTTTGTACCAATCCATCGTAGCTTTCCTCAGCATCGTGGGGAACAACCAACATTTGGTCGGTCCCCCGATGTTGTGATAGTACCGCATGGCCTCAAACCCGTCTATGTGGTCGACCGGGTCGACGATGCCGTTATATTCCTTCAGATGGGGAGGCTTCTCCATGCCCGGGGGAATGGGCGCCTCTATGATAGCTTGCGACAAGGGACCGCGGTCACGGTGGCCCTGTTAGCGCGCAGCGGTCCTTGGGCGGTATGACCGTTGATGGTTTCCCTCGTTCCTGTCTCCAGGGGGTCTTCGTTCTTGACGCGAGGGGCCGTGAACGTCTTCCCGCGTCGACGAGTTGTTCCCTCTCCAAAGGAGGTCGTCGCCCGAGTGGTCGGGGCGACGGGCTTCGAGAGATGTCCTGATTATGTCTCTGCGGGGGAGATTGGGGATGTTCACCCGCTTGTCAAGGGGGAGGAGGTTGAGGTCTTCTGTGTCTTCTCGGGGGCCTCCGATCGTCCTCGAGTGCCCTCAGTCTTTCCCCCTGGGCGAAGATTAGATAGTTGGTTTGATTGATTGCCGCGAACAGTGCCCTGGTCATGGCGTCTCCCCCGACGGGGACGGGGACCTCGTGGAATTGAACGTGTTGGTAATTTTGGGGAGGTGGTCGACCGTCTTCATGTCGACGAGACAGAGATGATGACGAAGCAGTTGCTCCATCTCTGTATTCAGAAGGTTCAGGCATGTTGACACCAGGGACTATGTTATGGCCTGCGTTGTCGAGGCCGACATTGTTGCCAGCGATGTTGTTAACATCGATGACACAGACGTTCAGGTTGTCTGGAATCTGGTCAGCCATGACAGTCGAGGATCGTTTAGCTTTTGGTCTCAAGTGAATAGAAGACAGGGAAACTTAGTTTCCCACAGACGGCGCCACTGATCTTACCGGATCAGAGATGGATCGTCATAGCTAGCTCGGGTAGAAGTTGAGTGAGATGGGGAGAATACATGCAAGACACTCTGATGACAAAATAAGAAACGGAATGAGCAAGCAAGTAAGAGTTCTGAGATATGAGTTGAATACCTGATCCTCTCGAAAGAGAGGGTATTTATAGCCCCAACACTGGGCCAAAGTCTCTTTATTGGGTTGATCAGACAGGCCCAACAAAGAGACTGTCAGGTTCTACATGTGTAGTGGGGACCCGCACGTGACCCCTTACCTGGATAACATCCTCCGCAAGACAGGGAAGATAGAGACGCGATCTTTCAGGGACCATGAAGACTCTGCGAAATCCGAAGAGGTTGGAAGTCAGTCCTACGAGGAAGGTGCTCGGGAGAAGCGCGTGCTCGTCGGGATGGTCTTTACGAGCACCGACGGGAAGCAGTCTTGGTCGACAAGACATCTGTGGTTGGGATGTGCTCGGTGAAAATACTACTCAGCAAGGTTGGCAGGTTTGGATTGGGCCTCACTGGTAGTTGGGCCAAGGACAGACCCAGTCCAGAACAATTTTAGTTAAGTATTGAATATTAGATAGAAGTGAAGTGAAATAGAGAAAAAAAATAGAAATATAGGTTTTTATCCCAAAATAAAAATTATCAAAAAAAAAAACAACAAATAGAAATTAAATATGATTATTTCCTTCTGTATATCCTTTTTTTTCTTTCTTCATTCTTCGATAGAAAATTTAAGGAATAAAATTCAAATTCTTAATTAATACAATTACCTAACATAAATCAAATCCAAATTACTTAGCACCTTAAATTCAACATCAACATTAATACAGATTACAACAGTGAAAGTATAGTCTCAGACCATGTTGCAACCAAGAAAACTTAAAACTTAAACTCTCAAAAGTATCATCATGTTCAGTAATAGTCTTATGTAGGTTGGTGAGCTAGGGTCTTTGAAAGAGTTTTACTACTTTAAAGCATGTCACTTTGCAAAAAAATCTGTACCAAATTAAAAGTGACTTTCCAATATAATAGATTAAACTCATAAAAACGATACAGGGGTATACCATTCTAGAGTTTTGCAAAAGTTAGTTCAAAAAGAGTGATCATGGAATCACAAACCTCATCTGGTGTCAAAGCAGGAACATATCCCAAATATTTCATAGTAGCAGGCTCATAGCACTGAACTTTCTTGCCTGATTGCTGCGCGTTTCCCCTCAGAGGCACCTGAACTCATAAAGTTATTTCCTAAAACAAATCATTAAAGCAACACACTCATCTCCAATTAAAGTGAACTCTAATTTCAAGTTTCAAATAAAAGATTAAACCGTGCTGAAGCATTATTAATAACAAAAGGTAGGTCAAAGCATTTTGTACTCAACTGTTGCAAAATATCTTTCAAATATTTGTCAATAACAACAACGGCCCTGTTGTTTTCAACAAATATCATCTGTTCAAAGATATTGTTTATCCCCCAAAAAGCCAAGTGCACACCTTATACTTTTTTCGGGTTCTAATTATAGGATACATAATAGAAAATAGGAACACTAAATCAACTCCAGAAATAAAACCCCATTCTTGTTGTTAAGGCCTACTTCTTTCAAGGTAGCAGAACTATCATTAATACTATATGCACGCCACGAGTATGAAAATATGCTGAAAAAAGCATATGAACATGTAATAATGACCTGAATTAGGGAATTTGGATAGAACCCCATATTATGCTTTCCTCTTTTCCTGTGAACTGAGATCAATATGAATTAGGGAATCTTCAATATGTGAATGGAAATCAAGAAACATCCAATAACAGAGTTAGAGATAAATAACTTGACCGTTCAAAACACCAATTCCTCGTCAGTTGTATGTGGCCGTGATACCAATGCTTTTCCAAAATCCTGATTTTCATACGATTTCCGAAACCCTAATTTTCTGCGCGTGATAAAGAGAAATACAGCAAAAATTAAAGATTAGGGTTTTAACGTTAGAGAAAGAGAAAGACAAGAAGGAAGAGGGGGAAGAGAGATAAGAAGAGAAAGAAATTTGAGGAAGAGGAAGAACGTTGAATAATCATTACCTTCTGCCGAGAGAGAAAGAAAAAAGAGAGACAGAAACATTATGAGAAAAAGGACGACAAAAGCGAGAGTAAGATTATGAAATTTTTGATTTTGAATTTAAGTAACGTTAAAAGAAGAGAAAATAGGAAAGAAATTTTATTTGGATCAAATTACATCATCCTTTCATTCTAACTTAATCATCAAAGTTAAAAAAAATATAACTATGTAATTGAAATACAGTTATATAATATCATTAATTGGAAAAAAAATCGAATACAAAATACTCTCATTTTGACGAGGTGGTACAAAAAGAGCAAGGACTATAAAAGTGTTTTTAACGACTTAAAAGAGCAAGGACTATAAAAGTGTTTTTAACGACTTAAAAGAGCAAGGACTATAAAAGTGTTTTTAACGACTTTAATTTTTCTTATATGGTAGATTTATATTTTTTTAATTTAAAATTATAAAATTATAAATTTTAATGTATAATTCAAAGATATTCGATTATTTTATTTTATATATATATATATATATATATATATATATATATATATATATATATATATATATATATATATATATATATATATATATATATATATATATATATATATATATATATATATATATATATATATATATATAATATATATATATATATATATTAGATTTTATTTTAAATGTAAACTTAAGTTCAGATTTTCAATTTTTTTAATACTTTGTACAATGTATTTATCTATTTTAAAAAATGGAAAAGATGAAAATTTAATAAAATTAATAAAATAATAACATTGAATAACTTTGATATCCTAATGAGAAAGCGGGGACGACCACCGAAAAGGGTGAGGTCAACGCCGACGACATCCAACAGTAAGGAGGTAGAGATTCAAAGGACGAACGAAACAACACCAACAGAGAAGTTGAAATTCACTGAAAAGGGAATGAAATAATCAATTGAGGAGTAGATAAAACAGAAAGAGACCAATGAATACGAAACCCTAAATTCACAAAAGGAGGAACCAAGGAAGTTTTGGGTGGATGTAATCAATGGTAATCTAAATCCAAGCAACGACATGGCAATCAAGTTTATAGCACCGAAAATACTGAATGGGATTGCTGAAGTCGTAATCGAGGAAGCGGATATCGTGAATGAGGTAAAATTCTGGGACACATCTTTAATCATGTATGTTCTAGGAGGTGAATTGAGTATGAACGGTGTCAAACAATTTATGACGAAGCAGTGGAAGTTTGTAATATTGTCAGATATGTATTATAACAATGAAGGTTATTTTGTGTTGAGCTTCCATTCTTACAAAGAAAGAGATGAGGTATTGCAGAAAGGACCATATACTATAAGGAACATGCCAATGTTATTAGCTAAATGGAAACTCAATTTTAATTTGAAGAAAGACATGCTACGAGTCGTCCCAGTCTGGATATAATTGTCGCAGTTATCATTACACTTATGGGGAGCCACGATCTCGGCGAAAATCGCTAGTGTACTGAGGACACCATTGATGATGGATGAATGTACTGCTAATCGATATCGAATCTCTTACGCAAGAATTCTGGTAGAGATAGACATTACAAAAGAGTCGATCAAAGAGATTCCAATTACAGATGGGAAAGGCGAGAAGATGCAACAATCCGTGGAATACGAATAGACACCACCATATTGCACTAAATGTCAGAGAATGGGGCACAAGTGTGAAGAGAAAAAAACAAAACCAACCTATCAAAAAGTGGATCCCAAAAGAAAAGAAACATCGGGAAGAGGTATTGGAGAAGATAGCTAGAATTGGTAACACAGCTACGCAAAGTCAACATGATAATATGCAGGAACATACACCAAACAAAATCATCCAAAAAATCAGCTGGAAAAAACATATAGATTTAAAGAGGAGAGTTATGAGACATGAACAGAGGTTTGGGCAAGGACCAGAGACAAAATTAGATAAAGTATGAATGGAAAACAACCAGTTATCACTCCTTCTAGGGACAATCATGGAAAAAAATTTGCAGCACTTGGGGATGGATCAGCCTCAGTGTTCCAAGAGGATGTTCCATGATTACATCATGGAACATTAGGGGTCTGAACAATGCATGGAAGTTTAGGGAGATCATCTCCCATCTCCAAAAACTTCATTCTGCAATCATGATTCTAATTAAGACTAGAGTAAAGAAAAACAAAGTGAAGCTACTCGAAAAATAAGATGAAATAGCCTCGGATGGAACAAACAGAGTCGCCACATAACTTTATTTATCCCAAAAGATAGGGAAAGGAAAATATAGAGAAAAGCTTAGATATTAGGAAAATAACATAATCTCGCAACCAAATCTCGGGTAAGGGAGTCGATTACGTAATGGGAAGGTATTAGCACCCCTCACATATGTGGTACTCCACAGAATCCACTCTTGTTATTCTAATCAATGGATGTGTATATCTAAAACTTACTTGCTGAAGGGAAATGTATGCATAAATTCATTGGGAAAAAGAAAAAAAATTTATTAGTGCGTTTGTCTGAGCATTGAAACTCCATTCCTACGTATCCACAAGGGAATCAAAACACCGCAGTTCTTCTTAAAAATGTTTTGTTTGGTGTGTGTTTTTTATGGATGATATTAAATTCGCATTCTAATAGTTAACATTGCCACTCGACTATTGGAGACTACGCATTGTTGTTTTGTGTAGAAAGGAGTTAACAAATCCTTTTTGAAAAGGTTTTAAAGTGAAAAAGCATTAAGGTAAAAATGATTTAGGTTTGGTTTGTGTTTTTGTTAGGAAGAAGGTTTTAAGTGGCCCATTATCTAAAGAGACACCCATCACCTTCATACCTTTAATTTCGAAAGGGTTTTGAGTATTGTTAAGTATTTTGAGATTGATTGAAAAAAATATTTTAGTCTTAATGATGCCATGCAAAAGGAAAAGAAAAGTCTAATGGGGAGACTTGATCTTAATGTTATCATGCAAAGATTGATCCTATAGTTGAGATAGTGGGGGAAATTCTAACCTAATGTTGTCATGTTTAGATTGAGGTTATAATGTATACTTAGGTTCAAATTTCATCAAAAATTTAAGATGAACCAAGTAATATTAAGGTTACATGTTATTCAACAAGAAATGATAACACAAATGGATGAGAATCCATGGGTTTATTTGGTAAAAGTTATGACAAAAGAGTAAAAGTTAAAAGCATGTTTTTAATGTTTTATGGTTTATGTTTTAAAAGAGTTTATGAAAGAAATATGTTTAAAAAATAAGACAAGCTTGTGAAAACATGGATGAATTGGATGTTTGAAACATGTATATGCATCACAATCACGATTGAAAGTCATGGAGCATAGCTTTTGATTTTGAACATGTTTCATGATTTAATGTGAATTTTGGATGAGAAAAGCTCTTAAAGGGCTCAAGCTATCATGAAATTCTTACTCAAGTGTCAAGATATATCATGAGAACCAAGACCTATCATGGTATGATTAAGCTTTTATGAGAAAAGTTGAGAAATTGATCAAAAGATCAAGGAAAAGCACCTTTAAAAACCCTAAAAAGTAACCACTTTGATTTAATTGAAAAATGATGAAATAAAAAATATTTTTGTGATATTTTTAATATTCATAAAGTAGAGGAGATAAAGAAGTAGCGTGCAAAAAATTAGCTCAAAAGAATTAAATTTATTTGCAAAAAGAAATAAATGAAAATGGTGAAAAATAAAGTGGAAAATTGAGTTTAAAAAGAGAAAAAGAAGCAAAAATGTACCACTGGGACTCGAACCGAGGTCCCTATAGTAACATGAGCGCTTGCTTTCCACTGGGGTGACAGTTTCATCCGGTTATGAAACACCACCCATTCAGTATATTATAAACTCAAGTTTTAAAATTTGAAAATTTGGCGCCATTGTTCTTCTTCTTCCTTGTTGCGAAAACAACTACAACAACTCCATTATCAAATTCATAAAAAGCATCATTTCTCAACCAAATTGTAAATTGTAAAGACTAAACTTGTCTAAAATTTCACAAGGAATGCAATGATGTAATTTTCAAAAGTTATAGATAAAAAATGAGACAAATTTCATCAGTACCAAACAAATCCTATAAAATTTCAGAGGCACGATTCTCATCACACAGGAAAAATTAATGAAAACTAGTTACATGGTTAGCTTACTAGACATTATATCTACATTTTTGCTTCAGAATGTATACACAAATTATCTGTGTATAAAGAGTTCAAAGTTTGAAATTTGTACCAAGTTGGAGAAAGTCCAGCGTCTCTTCTGGTGCTTCCAGGTGCAAAAAATGATATGTTTAGCTTCCTTGATCCTCCCTGAGTGTATTCCAATTGATAGAATACCTTGTATCTTGCTCAAACTTTATGATCAAGTCCAAGTGCAAGCAACAATGGCCACAGGTTGTATAGAGTGATTGGCTTGTTTCGGTGATGGATTAATGCATACAGTAGTGCATATATGGTGTATTGATGATGATTTAGTGGTTTGTTTGCAAAGAGATTGCAAGAGTTATGAGTTTCTAATTTTTGGACTCTGAAGCTCAAGATGGAGGTTTTTTTGACAAATTCTGGTTTTTGAGAGTATGAAAGGTTTTGAATGCTTGTGAATTGGTGTCTTGCCATGCTAATGGTCTCTCTATTTATAGGCAACTGGTTTAAAAGATTGAAGCAACCAAATTTGTGAGATAACAAGTTATGGTTTGGTTGGATGTAACTTGTAGTTTCTTGAGAAATCAAAGTTCAAATGCATGGTACCGTGTCTTGTAGAGTGGTTAGACACTTTAAACATGCTTCTCTGAGTTTTTAGGTTGAGTGTATGCAGAGGAAACAAGTGAGAGGCTTAAG